TGGGGGGGGGGGAAGTATCCCCGGGAGGGAGCTCCCATCCCCCAGGACTGCTGTGAGGGGTTTGCCAGCAAGTCCCTGTGCTTTGAGGACACCCCCCCAGGGTGGCTTTGAGGTGTCCCCCCTGCTTTGGAGGCTCACCCAGAATGGTTTGGCGTCCCACCAGGCAGTACCTGTGCTTTGGGGGTTCCCCCCAGGGTGGCTTGGTTGTCCACTTGCATTGGGGGTTCCTCCCAGGATGGCTTTAGGGTGTACCCCCCAGCAGTGCCTGTGCTTTGGAGATTCCCTCCAGGTTGACTTTGGGACTCCCCTTGATTTGGAGGTTCCCTCCAGGGTGGCTTTGGGACTCCACTTGCTTTGGGGGTTCCCCCCCCAGGATGGCTTTGGGTGCCCCCAGTAGCTCTTTGTGCTTTGAGGGCTCCCTCAGGAGTGCTTTCATGTCGGCCCCTGCTTGGGGACACCCCCTAGCATGGCTTTGAGGTTGCCTCCCAGGAGCACCCAGTGTTGTGGGGTGCACCCAGCATTGCCCCCACTTTGCGGGGCTCCCCCTGTGCTGCCATGGGGCAGGGCTGCCCCCACTGTGCACCATCTGCCTGCAGCTGGGTCCTTTGCAGGGGCCCTCAGACATGCAGTGGGGCCCCCGGTACCACTGTCCCCCAAAAGGAGCAAGGGAGGAGCCCCGGTGCTCTGGCCCCCCTCCCCACTCTGTTCCCAGCCCCAGCTCAAGTCTGCCTGGCTGTGGTCCAGGGGGCTCCAAAGTGGCCCCTTGGGTCGGGCTTTCCCTCCTTGGCAGCCCCCCCCCAAGGGGGGTGTTACCCTCATCGCTCTGATCCTTATGGGGTGGGATGTGGGGACAGTGTTGGGGGGGGACAGCACAGGGGTGGCAGAGGCTGCTGAGGAGCGCTTGGCAGCAGGGCTGGGTCAGGGCTGCTGGAAAACCAGCAAAAATCCCTGCAGCCATCATGGAAAAAGAGGAAAAACACAGAAAGAAACATGACTTTTTTTTTTTTTTTTTTTTTTCTTTTTTTAAATCCCATGTGTCGGGGCCTGATTTTTAAATCCCTTGGCATGACTCCCTGCCGGGAGTTCGAACCAGCGCGAGTAGGCTCTGGTTTTCCAGAGACTGTGTTGCAGAAAGCTGCTGTGCCATAACGCCTTGAGTGGAGCTTTCCGGACCAGTGGCTTTGGGACACGGCTTTGGGCAGGCAGGGAAACCCAGCACCCTCACCTGCTGCCGCCTGACCTTGGCCATGCCTGGCTGCCGTCCCCCTCCCCTGCGGACAGGGGCTTAGGAGATCCGGTTCCTCTGCTCTGCCCTGGCACAGCCTTTGGGATCACTGCCAGTTTCCCTGGGGGAAATCCATCTGCGGGGTGCCAGCGCCGGTCCCGGGCATCTTTGCAGGTCAGACCCTGCTTGCCAGCACCCATGGGTGATATAGCACCCCCCAGACCCCCATGAGGCCCCCCAGCTCCTGCAGGGTTCAGCACAGGGAGTCGCAGGAGCAGGATTTGGCCAATGTTGCTGTGATTTGTGACACCCTGCAGTGCCACCCTGCTCCAAGGAGCCGTGCCACCCGCAGCCCCCTCCGCTCCCCCGGCAGCAGCAGTGTGATTTCCCTGGGGTTTACCCCAGGCTCCCGCTGTGCCCGTGGGTCTCCCACCTCGTGCTGGTGCAGAAGAGCTGCAGTTTGGTTTTGCCTTCCAAGAAAGCGCTTGCCCAGCACAGGACTTGGCACCATGCAGCCCCGGGACCATGAAACTGCCCATAAACAGTCAGGAAACCCGCTCCCGCCTTCGCCCTCCAGCACGTCGCTGCCCAGTGCCGGGGCCAGGACCCGGGCAGGCGGGAAGAGCTGCAGCAGCTCCAGCTCGGTCCTGGGTGGGCTCTGCCCCCATCCCCTCCCTGGGACACAGCGGGAGCCCCCTCCCAGCTGAGCACTGCAAAATCCTCCCCTCCATCTTCATTGCAGGAAAGCAAGGAAAATTACCAGCTTAATTTTATTTTATTGTGTCCCCCCAAGAGCTGGGTGAAGCGGCGCCACTGCCTACACCAGTGAATTTTTAATTGCAAATCTCAATGCCTCGGCCCCCAGTGCTGCCTGCCGGGACGGATGGCTGCAGGGAGCACGCCTGTTTATTTCCTTCCCCCCCTGCCTAATTTATACTGTGCTATCAATCTTGCAAGCTTCAATCTTCATTTCCTCTTTTTAAAGCCCAATCTT